ATTTATATGTCAAACTATCATATTATTAAAAATAAGAAATATATAATAAACTATTATACTATTAAAAATAAGAAATGCGAATGACGTAAAATAATTTTGCACACTCACCAGAGGCCGTTTCGGTAGCGTCGCGATGGTCTGAAACAGAAAGAGAATATTCTAGTAAGTATACATCGTTCTTCACCTTACGGCGGTTGCCGCGAAAAATTAAAAATTGTTGAGCGCGTAGTTGGAAGAAATTAATTTAAAAAAAGTAAATTCTCTCTCTCTCTCTCTCTCTCTCTCGGGAAATGAGAGAGCAACGCAAAAATTCCAACGAGAGAACTAAAGTTCGAACCAAGTGCGGCTCGGCGCGCCGAGCTAAAATCCGCCATACGTATATTATGTGAAAGTACAGTAATTTAACAGCGTACGGAGAATTCCTGGAAACAATTTGCGAGGCAAAGCCGGTAGCCGCTCATAAAATACAGCGAGAAAATACCACGAATTAACGGGAGGGAGGGGGAATTTACAACAAAGCGCAGAAATTATTGGAAAGCGTCGTGAGTCGTTTAATGGACTATCAAAAACGTCAGAGTGCTCTGGGCGGTGTCGCTTGGGATACGACGAATTCTTTCGTCGCGGAATTCGTTTTTTATTCGACGATTATTTACGATATTTCCTCGAGGGTGACGAGTTTTATGCGAAATTAAAAACGAGTATATGCAAATTCGACGGCAATCGATTGCGGGCGTTATATCGCCCGAAACATTTTGTTTTACGCGCGTCGACGCCAGCTCGAAGTCGTAAATTTTTCAAGACGACCAGTTTTTTCGGGAACGCACGTCTCTATTCTGACGTTTCTTTCACCTCGAATCAAACGAAACGCGCGAGACATTAATTTCGTTTTTCTTCTTTGTAAGGTCATTAAACCGCGCATCACGTTTCTGATCCTCATCAACGATTGATACATCGTCAAAAGACACATTATATATGTATACATATACATCGTGTATTCAACGTTATATAAAAATTCCAACGAGAGAACTAAAGTTCGAACCAAGTGCGGCTCGGCGCGCCGAGCTAAAATCCGCCATACGTATATTATGTGAAAGTACAGTAATTTAACAGCGTACGGAGAATTCCTGGAAACAATTTGCGAGGCAAAGCCGGTAGCCGCTCATAAAATACAGCGAGAAAATACCACGAATTAACGGGAGGGAGGGGGAATTTACAACAAAGCGCAGAAATTATTGGAAAGCG